GCTAAAATTAAACCCATGTTTCCCACTATTGTTGATGTCCCTGGCATACTCTCAAAACTATAGAGAGTGATTCCTTATATTTCCATTTCATTGTGAAATAAAATTGTAGACTGAGACATTAAAAATGTAGACTAATAGATTTAAATTACACGAGGACTTCCATGCCAATTTCAATAGTCCTCGCACACTGACGTCAAACACAAAGGCAGCCGCACGAGATTTACACGCATATTTGGCTTCCTTAGCGTCAGATATAGAGACAGATGCGCACGAGATTTGCATGCGTATTAGGCCTCCTTAGCTGCTGACCTATCGACCTGCCTAATTTACATTCCGGTGTAAAGACGAATAATGACCCCTATCGAATAATGACCGGGGGGTCATTTTTCAACGACAAAAAATGACCCCCACCCGTAGAAAAAAATAATTTTTTGTAGAAAAAGGGTCCTAGGGGGTCATTATTTTATATGTTAGTCCTATAAAATAATGACCCCCATTGAAAAATGACCCCCTTTAAAGTGATACAAAATATACACTATTTGAAATCTTTTTTACAGCAAAACTTATTTTTACATTTTCTGTAACCAGAAAAATACAAAAAGTCGTATGAAATTATTAAGAGATTCACGTAGTCTTTCAATGCTAAAATTGTGTTTGATGCTAAAATTGTGTTTGAAAAGAGATTCTTTAATTGTCAAGTAAATAAAATTTCTTTTTAATATTCCTCCTTATAATATTTGCTTAAAGAATGATATTCCACTTGTTTTTAGAAATCAAACCATGCAAAAATCAGGTTTAAATACTCTTTAATAGAGTATTAAATTTTCCGTCATTTCAACTTTTAGTTTGTTTAAGTTTGGCAAATCCTATTTGACAATGAAAGAGTAGGAAATTTTTATAACCACCCCCCCCCCCCCAAAAAAAAAAAGAACATTACGTTAAATAAAAACAAAAAAAAAAAATAATAATAAATGAAAAGCAAATAATAAATGAAAAGCAAAAATATAAATAAAACTCTATACCTTTCAATAATTCTGAAAGAGGCTCTAGATAAAATATTGAAATGAAGTTAAGCCTTCACACAAGTACTATCATATCATAATTTACTTCGCCATGATTAAAGCATACTTTAAATGTTGGTGGAGGTATACTTGAAAGTATTGTGTCAAAGTAACAGTTAAAAATTAGTAGAATAGTAGTTTATTTTTAGCTTATTTTTAATTCTATCTTATAGAAAAATAAAGGTATGGTGTTTTTTTTTTTGCTTTTGTTCAATATCGACTTACTCCTAAAAAATAAAGGGGGTGGGGTAATTATAAGACCAAAAAATATGCTCTGTAAAGCTATTGGCTAGTGTAAAATACACAGTCATTCTAATGCAAAAACTATACATGTAGACATAAACTTTTGATTTAGCACACAGTATTCATTACATTTCTTTTAACGTAGAGCCTATTTCCTATGACATCATAACTGGTAAATGTGTTAAACCTGTGCTAACCCATTAAGACGTCATAATTTATTCAATGCCACTTTTTCCCGTACTTGACAGCTTCAATAATACTGCATCTTGAAATTCACAGAATTCAATCATGCCAACATAATCTTAATTCAATTCATATATTTTTTGGTTTGTAATGCTTAATGGCAAAATATTTCTGGAATAAGAGAAAATATGTAGGCACCTTTTATTAACTAGATCTAGATATGAAGTTGACAAACCCAAGACTATCTAGTGTAATGAAATTACAATGTACATACAACTTTCGTAATAATTTGAATGGTATGTAACCATTTTGAAGAAATGCATAAATCGTAAGAAATCTTTAGTTGCCAGCTATATAATGTAATATCTTGATGAAATGTGTCTAAGTCAAAGATGTACGTGTTGTAGATCGTTTGATCGTGTGTACATTTTTGTGATATCTATCATGAAATGATGTGCATTCCTTTTAACAATTATTTGTTACCTATTCATATTCTTGGTGTTTGATTACAATTTTTCCATAAATATGATCTTTTTAAGGTAAAAGTACAATTTCTGATAAATATCTGAAAGTTACCCCAAAAAGTCATTTAATTATTAAATCCCGTGTAAGTGCAAAAAGGTCAAGAATATGAGTATCGGTAAATAGCCTATCTTTCATTAGTTAGAGGGGAAAGGTATATATTTTAATCATTTTTGTAATCATTTGGCTATGTTCTTCATCATATTGAAGATTGAAAACATTGTGACAAAGACTTCAAAATTTTTTTACAAATATAGGGTGCATAATTGACTAAAAATAATAGAGTTCATTCGACTATTTTTTTTTTAATTTTTTATGTTAATTGAATAAAAAAGAAATGATTCTTGATAAAATATTGTTTAATATTATTCAGTTAAAAAAGTTTATAAACGACGATGTTTGAAGAAGTATTTTTGTGATTTTTCATATTCCCTTTATGACAAGTACGTCCCCTAAAAATATTTGAAAATGTGAAGTCGCAGTATGTAAATACCATACCAAGTTTCATAGCCTGTTCTAGATTAAAAAACAAGGAAACATATCATGATATCTTAACTGATTGATAAGCAAGTACTAATTTATCATTTTGAAAAGTTTGAAAATCTTGTGACAAAGACTTTTCCGACATAGGTTCTACCTTAATTCTTGTTTTACTCCACCCTTTTACTCAGTTCTGAGTATATTTTTCAGAGAATTTAATATGAAAATCAGAACAAACATTTTCATCGTTGTCAGTGTTTCCGTTAACGCATATTTCTGCGTATTTTACGCATAAAACTTACCTTTTACCCCCAAAAACGTCACCTAGAGGGTCATCATGACGCAGAAGAAAATATGAAAACAAGTTTTTAAAAATCTAGTTCAATATTGATGTTTTCATAGAAAAACATATTTTATATGTTTAATTTACATTCTGGACAACTTTCTAGGAATTAATCATTGCTTTTAGTTTAATTTCAAAGTGGCAGTAATTGAAATCGGCATTTCCACGTCAACAATCTATTAAATATTCTTTTGTAAGACCTATCTAATTCTTAACAAAACCGGAAGTGCAAGTAAAAATGGCGCTTCAGCATGTTCAGTCTTACATCGGCATATTTATAACAGCTTGGCTTTGTCAAAAAGGCTAATTATGGTAATAAAAAGGTGAGGAAAGTTCAAATCTTTAATAAACAGTCTTGTAAAGCAATCAACAACTTTCAATTGTTATCTTTTGATTGAGGTATTCACGAAACCCTAATGGTGTAATCGGTAAAATGTAACTGTGTACCGGTAAAATAACAGAAGTATACATGTATCAATTATATTTTACTTTCATTTTTTTTTTTCATTTTTAAACATCAAATATATGATCTTAGAAGGCAGAGCTAATGTTAGAACCCAAATCAAACCAGAATATATTTTGACCCTCAAAAAATCATTTTGACCCCCAAAAGTTTACATCAAAGGGTCATAATGACCCTTGGTTTTAAAAATTAGCAGAAACACTGGTTGTAACGTCTTGACCTTGGAGTTTTCCTTCTTATGATTTTTTTTTTACCTTGGCCATAACTTTTGAACGGTAAGGGCTAGGGTATTCATACTTCACATATGTAATCCTAGTTACATTAAACATTTTCTTAAGAAATCATCAACTTTGACCTTTGAGTTTGACCTACCTTTCAAAAACTTATCCTTAGCCATTACTTTTGAACAAGTGGTGCTAGGGCTTTCCTATTTTGCAGTTGTATTTTTTGTGAGAAGACCCTACTTTGGGTAACAATATATTTAAATTGCAGTTAAGAAAAGTTTAATCTTCGCTATGTTGCCATACAGGGGCATAGCTGTTTCACAAACACATCTTTTTAAATATGAGGATTTGCGGATAAGAGATGGATACCTCAAACCCTTAAGGCTTGATAAATCTTTTACTCCTTTAGATTCTGAATCATTGCATTTACCTTAAAAATAAAAATTGTATAATGATATGAGATCAACATATTATCAGTTTATTCCCAATAAGCTCAGGTGAGCATTTTGGCCAATATGCTTCTTTATCCAATTTTTTTTTGCCCCCTAAAAATTTTAGCTTTAATCTACAGGGGGTCATTTTTCTACTGGGTCATTTTTCTTCACGTGGGTTCTGCAAATTTTTAGGTGATGACACTTTTTCTACGGGCAAAAGGGTCATTTTTCTACGTCGAATAATGACCGGGGGTCATTTTTCGCTGTCGAAAAATGACCCCCGGTCATTATTCGATGGGGGTCATTATTCGTCTTTACACCGGCAGAATCATCAAGAAATAAATTCCCCCAACTTTCAAACTTATCAAAAAGAAAAAAATTTGAAATGGAAATATTTGTAATGATCACCCATTGGAAGAGGGTTTGGCCTATTGTTTGAACAAAGTGGAATTCCCATACCCAAGTGTCGAGTTCAGTTGAAATTGGCCCATTGTTTCCGGAAGATAAAACTGTGAAAAATTTACGACGATGTTCGACATCGGACAAATGATCAGAAAAGCTCAATTGACCCTTCGACGAAGGTGAGCTAAAAGTAAAATCTAAATATTACTTTTCACTGTCACGCAGTGTATATACAAATATTTACCTTTGCATTGTCTTTTTCTGAGCTGAAGCTACAAATAAAATGTATTAGCTAATGTCTTTATATCCCGATAAATCCCATAAGAGTTACCGTATGTTTTTTTTTTGTTTTTATGCTGATGATCAATCAATTTGCTCGCATGATAATTTTACGCATAAACGCCTCGGCTTTTATGCAAATTACCACGGGAGGAAATTGATAAATTGATTGATAATTAAGATAAGAAAACCAAAACACTACACAGTTATTTCTTAGGTTTACATTCATTCACTTTATTGAATCCTTTCCGAAAACACAAATAACAGTATTGACCGAGGTTGCACACTTTTGTAAATTAATTTCAATCAATCCTGTATTGGTCATGTTGGTTGAAAATATATTTTTTTTCCCAATTATATTTTTATATATGTGCTGAAATTACAACTACATTGTATTTAAATGCCTTTTTCCCAAATTAATCATAAGAGGAATCCAGAGAAGGTGGTAGCAGGCGCTGATCCTTCGGTATAATACCCAGATCCAGTGTAATACTGGACCCACACGCGATCTCCTTTTTGAAGCTGTAACACTGCCAAGTTCGGTCCTGCAGTGTAATATTCACTACCTGCAGCATATGCCATTGTTGTGACTTTACTGGAGCCATTCAGCACTAAATATGTGTATATAATGTTGTTAGAATAAGCTTGAACGTTCACAAAGAAAACAAAGTGTCCGTCTACAGGTGATGTGAAGACACCAGTACTGGAGTCGTACCCTCCTCCTATGTTGTACACGATCCTATCAAACACCAAGGCACCGCTGCTCCAGGTGCTGTTGTATGACGTCACACCGGCCGTAAAGGCAACTTTTTTGGTAATGTCTGCAATGTAAGGTTCAATAATTTGTATTGTTATAAGTTATATATATTTTAAGGGGGCCACTTTGGTTGTCATTGCGCAATATTTCGCGCATCACAGTAAAATAAAGCGTACTTACTGTTAAAGCACCTTTTTTCACTTGATTAATAGAATTTATTATAACAAACTTAAGAAATTAAAGGAATAAAAATGTAATTACAATTTTATATAACTGATTTTTAACCGATTTTGCAATTGATATAGGTAGGGTCACACATCGTTATAGTGCGTTTTCGACGATATGTTACACTGAAGCTCTTAAGAAATGGGTAATAAAAATGTTATTAACGAAAAAGAAATTAACATACGCATTTGAAATTTAAAACATAGAATTTTAAGAATATCTCCGATATCTTTATTATCTTTTCATATAAATCTCTAGTGCCCGTTATATTTTGCAGGAAAATTCGTTAATTTTTTTTTGCATTTTGAGATGCCCCCTCTGGTAACAAGACGGTAGAATCTGGTGTTTCTCACATGTAATGTACAATATAGTATTACTCATCATATATTACAGTTTTAACAAAAAGTCTATTGTATTATTTGTATCATATGCTTTGAGGTGCAATAAAGCAATAACAATTTGTTAAAGAAGACCTTGATGAGACTACAGTCTTATTAAAAACCATAAACATATATACTATTTAACAAAAAGATAGCAATACCAGAATACATACTGGTTATTATTCCACAGACATCCCTAATTTGATCGTCAAAATGTGTTATTAACGTAGTATTGAGTTTGTCCGTCTTAGAATGCACGTCCATTAGTGACAGGCTTGTATATCGCATCTGAACTTTTATATCGTGCAAGTTGTTCATTGAATCGGCGAGCTGTTGAGTTAAATTTTTGTCATACTTCTCACTTGCAGTCAAAACGTTGTGAATTTCATTGAGTTGTTGAGTGACGTTTTTCCCCCGCTTATCATATATCACTAAAATATTCTCTACTTCATTCAGTCGATGAGTGACGTTTTCATCCTGCTTGTCGTTGATCATCAAAGTATTTACTACTTCGTCAAGTTGGTGTGTTAATTTCTTATTCTGCTTCTCACTATTTACAATATCATTCTCCGCTTCATTCAGTCTCAACGTTAGGTTATTGCCATATTCTTCATTTGCGATCAAAATATTGTGAATTTCCTTGAGTCCTTGGGTGATGTTTTTTCCCTGTTTATCATAAATAACCAAAATATTCTCTATTTCTTTAAGTCGTTGAGTAAAATTTTGATCCCGCTTTTCGTTTATCAACAAATTATTCATTACTTCTTCAAGTTGTTTCGTTAAGTTTTTGTTTTGCTTGTTACAAATCGCAATATTATTATCCGCTTCGTTCAGTCGCAGAGTTAGATTTTTTTCGTATTCCTCATTTGCCACCAAAGTTTGAACTATTTGTTTTGTGCTTCTTAAGTACGCCATTAATTCATCATTGGAAGGGGGCTTAGATGCATTCAGTTTATTCAGTTCCGCCTCAAAAGAGAATACTTTGTTCTGAAGCAATCTTTTTTCTTCACCAAGAACGTCTGTTAGTCTCCTGAGATATTCCACCTCAGTAGTCAAGTTCAGAACCATTTGCTTGATTTCCGCCACATCGACACTGTGCCCACCAGACCAATTGATTGGATTGCTTCCATTAGAATTTCCATGCACAAACAATGCAGAACGATCTCCAGTATTAAACAACAATAGTACAATGATAATGTAAAAATGATTTTGAAATCGCATTTTGAAAGGTTTACGTTGTTTTGTACTTATCGAAAGCAGCTTGTCGTACCTCTCCTGTTTTGTATGAATGTCTATATATAGGTATCTCTTCTGGCGAACTTGATTATATAGTACCTTTAGTCTTACTGGGAAAAGATTTAAAGATTCTAGAGATCCATTAGTATCTTTGTTCTTTAAACAAACATCTGCAAATATATATTTGATAAAATCCTCCTTCACCAAAGAAATTTTGAAGGACATTTTTTTGTTTCTATCAGTTTATCTTGTCGAAAAACGCAATTCAAGTGACTTCTTGCGATATTTTGTTGTATAGATGCGAATACGAAAGCCGGATAGGCTCATTTCTGAGAAGATAAAAAAAATTTAACTCGTTATAACGAGTAAGTATCTCGTTATAACGAGTTAATTATCTCGTTATAATGAGTTAGTATCTCGTTATAACGACTTAGTTATCTCATTATAACGAGTTAGTTATCCCGTTATAACGAGTTAATTATCTCGTTATAACGAGATAGTATCTCGTTATAACGACTTAGTTATCTCGTTATAACGACCTAGTTATCTCGTTAGAACGACTTAGTTATCTCGTTATAACGAGTTAATTATCTCGTTATAACGAGAAAATTAACTCGTTATAACGAGTTAATTTTTCTCGTTATAACGAGTTAATTTTCTCGTTATGAGGAGTTAAAAACTGATCTAAAGTTGATATATCTAAGTGATAGAAAGTATAGTAGTATAACATATAAAACCGAGTTGATCAAGTTGTTTATAGTGTGTATGATAAAGATTTTTATTGAAAAACAGCAAACTAGTTTATTTTTTTTGTTTTTGTTTTTCGAGGGGTTGTGCCTGTGATTGTATTCTGTTTATGTATAAACGATGCAATTGATTTGTATTGTATACTTAAATGACCGAAGACAAATACATGTACATGTATACGGAAACTTATGACTGCCTCCTGATGTTTTGTTATGAGTGAGCAGTAGCCCCCAAATTTTACGCCCATGGCCTCATTGCTGATGTCTCCATATCCCCCTTCTTCAAAAGATTTCTGACTCTCAAAATAATATATATATCACCCTGTAAGTGTATATGATATATGTTGCATTAACGCCTGCGTTAGCTTCCTATTATACTGTATTAATTTCGGTACTAAGACATTGGTTATGAAAGCTAATAAGTCATCCAAACATATCAGAAAAATTAGTGTCTTTTATTGGAGAAAGTGGTCATAAATAAATTGCCAAACTTTGAAGCAAGTAATAGGTTGGTAATAGATTCTTTTTATATTGTGTCCTTGGAGAAGTTCACGTATAAATGTGTAAATAAAGATTGCTATACTTATCAAATTGTGATTATTGACAGCAAGATAGTTCAGGATTAATAATATTTAAACCATATCGCAAATTAAAATTGCAATATTAAAGTGAAGTATGACTGATTATTATCAACTAAACATCAATGACATTAAAACTACAGTCATTTTTAATTCATAACTAACTCGTTATAACGATATAATTAACTCATTATAACGAGATCATTAACTCGTTATAACGAGTTAATTATCTCGTTATTACGAGTTAATTAACTCGTTATAACGAGATAATTAATTCGTTATAACGAGATAACTAACTCGTTATAACAAGATAACTAACTCGTTATAACGATATAATTAACTCATTATAACGAGATCATTAACTCGTTATAACGAGTTAATTATCTCGTTATTACGAGTTAATTAACTCGTTATAACGAGATAATTAATTCGTTATAACGAGATAATTAACTCGTTATAACGAGATAACTAACTCGTTATAACGAGATAAGTAATTCGTTATAACGAGATAAACTAAGTCGTTATAACGAGATAATTTACTCGTTATAACGAGGTAATTAACTCGTTATAACGAGATACTAACTCGTTATAACGAGATAATTAACTCGTTATAACGACTTAAATATTTTTTTATCTTTTCAGAAATGAGCCTATCCGGCTTTCGTATGCGAACTTACTTTGCAGGGGAATGAATTAAATGGCTAGTACACTGGAAACGGAATATTATAAACATCATTCTAGTATCTAGACCAAATAAACGGACGTAGTGAATTATAAAGTATCCTTTAAAAAGTATTATGTCCTTCAAGCCTGTTTTAATGTATGAATTGAATTTATTTAAGGAATCACTGTCTAGTTAGTATAGTATGCCAGGGACATCAACAATAGTGGGAAACATGGGGTAATTTGCATAACGGGCTTCTCTCCTTATATTTTCATTTCATTGTGAAATAAGATTGTAGATTTAGACTTTCAAAATGCAGATAAAGATTTAAACTACACGAGGACTGACTGCCATCCCGATTTCAATAGTCCTCACCCACTGACGTCAAACACAACGGCAGCCGCACGAGATTTTCATGCATATTTGGCCTCCTTAGCGTCAGACTCAGAGACAGATGCGCACGAGATTTGCATGCATATCAGGCCTCCTTAGCTCTTGACCTATATTGACCTGCCTAATTTACATTCTGGTAGAATTATCAAGAAATTAACTCTGGTAACTTTCAAAGAGTTATCACAGGGAGAAAAGTTAGAAATGAAAATATATGGAAATATACACGGTATTGTGGGAAAACCTATGCTTATTTATGGCTGTGTTCCTTCAATAATTACTGTATGTGTACTTAAAGAAGTAGGCTTCATATTTTAGCGACTTTTATGCGGACAATAATCCGCTAATTCATGAGTACCGTTAATACTATTAATCATTGATAAATACAATAGACAGTACTGACGGATTGACTTCTAAAACGTGGACATATTGTCTAGAGTGAAAAATAATCATCACTGCGTTCTAAAATTTTCACTACTTTTTTAGTACATATTTCGTCAATATACATAGGACATTTCAAAAAGATAACAAATTATTAGATTTTCTGTAATGCATTGTATCACCTTACGACACACGGATGATAACGTCAAGTATCTAATATAAAGCAGCGTCTTGTTTCATCTTTGCTAAAAAAAAAAGTTGTTTAAGTCCGACTTAAAATAAGAAATTTCATTGACGCACGTTCCTGCATTTCCCTTTATTATTCCATAAAAAGCCTAGGAACAAATCTCGTACACACAGGGACTTTTTGAAGATTTCGTAGTAAGTTATGACAGTTTTCTCACTATCATTCAACTAAATAGGAAATCTTATAAATCGACGGTCTACAATGACAGCGTCTTTTGTTATTATCGCTATTACGAAAACTGTTTGTCCGTATGTTTTGTTCTATCTGAGGTCTCGATCAAAAAAAATTCCTTAAGCACACTCCTATTCAACTTTATATCAAAGATCTGTTGATTTTTTTTTCGTCTGGATCCCTTTAAAGTCTTCATTTAGGGGGGCATTTCTACATAATGATCAAACTAAACTGCTCTCCCGTAAGCCGTAACGTCATCAAACGTCGTCATTTTTCGTGTATTGTGTTTACCGCTTTTTCATTTCCAATGCTTGGAAAACTGCCGAAAATTGTATTTACTACTTTTATCTTGAAATAATACATGTACTCGTGTATTTGCGAACGAAACCCTGGTGTTTTGATCGTGCGCCGTAGGAATGTTCCCATTCAAGCATAATGAATTCTTCATTTTGTCTATATTTTATCCAAAAAAATATGCTTTTGAATATTTTAAGTAAACATTGACTGAAAATTTCAGTTAAGTGCGCCTATTATTTTCCGAGAAAAACGCTTTGTCCACGATTTCACCGGACGACCCTCGAAGTCAATGCGCTAAATTTTGAATACTTCATTTTATGTACACGTACAATAATTTCTTGGCAAGGAAATTTATTTCCCTAAACAATTTAAATATGTTTGTCATTGGCATTTAAGTTCGCTTTGAGTGATGGTGAATTTACGGTCTCATCTGAAGGACCGGTTTCCCCGTTTTACGGTAGGCTTCGAACCGGCGACGTAAGAATTTAAAATTCCTTGCTCCCCGACTTTACAGCAGATGTTCAATCACTGCCCCACGCGGGCTTTTAAATATGTAAAATTTATGTGTGTTTTATGTGTTTCTTCCTTTGACATAGCACACGTGCTAGATACAATAAACAGAAAAAAGATAGAGAAGTTGCGAGGTTATACCTTTTAAGCTTAACATGTTATCGACATGCCCTGGATGGTTTCAGAAACACCACAATCCTGATTTGTTTGGCAAAAATATTTTCAAAACAGCCATACATCATGCAATTTTGACTTTTGAATAAATGCAATACCTCCAAAAATTTAATTAAGAAAATATCACAATTAATGTCCCTTCTTGGTGTTGATTATTTTATTTTCAATGGAAACTAAAGCGGCTCTGGAGGCCAAAGAGAATCGACCCGAGAGACAAAAGGTATAAGCAATATCACTGCTTTACCCATTGTCCTCTGTTTATTTATTTTGCCTGTGCTGTTATGACTATTTACTTCAGATACAAATTGCTGCTAACAAACTATATGATTGTAACGCGCAACGCGGCCGAGCTTGTTGTGTGTGGTGATACGTCTTGTATCACCGAGGCGTTACACTTGGGTTTGTTAACCTGTTAACTCAGGTTTTTGTTGACCAAATAAAATTACAATCAAATATATACAAATACGATAAAGTAATACAATGGATCTCTTCTTGATTGTACAACCACTAACTGTGGTCAACGGGTGTCTCCCGTAAGTAAATTTCTTCTTTTCCTGCCACTACGATAGGACTGCCTCTTGGCACTTCCCCCACCTTTATCTGTGGTATGCCACCTCTCCCTATAACCAACCAACTGCCTTATTCAGGTCTTATGTTATGGTTATTTTAGATTC